CCTGCCCGCGCGCTCCAGCAGGCAGCGGAAGCCTGGCTGCAGCCAACACCGCGCTCCAATGTTCCCGCTCGTCAGGCCATTAAAAGGTTTTTAAACCCTTCCTGCTGCGGTAAATGAGCCCAGGCGCTGCTTACCTTGACGCTTGCGTCCTCTGCCCCGAGCGGGGAGGAAAGGGCTGCCCGTCCCCTAACGAAGCACAGCTCCAGGCAGGCGTTGGGCTGCCCGTGGTTGTGCGGGGCGCCGGGGTTGGAGGTGTGCTCTCAGGCCAGACCCCCCCTCGCCCCACTGCAGCTTTGGGGTTCACGGCTTTCCCCATCCCAGGGATCCTTCCTCCAGCCCTGCTCCCCTGCTCCCCCGGCTGCCAGCAGCGTGTGGGTGCCGGGGCAGTGCAGCGCAGCAGCGGGCATCAGCAGCTCGCAGCCGGGGTTTGCTTCACTCCCGCTGGGAGGGCTTGGGGCGTCCTCGCTACAAGCCGCAGGCAGAGCACCTGCCTGGGTGCCGTTACTGCCGTGCCTGCAGATGGGCAAGGGGGAGGCAGCGGGGTTCAGCCTGTACCTGGGCAGTGGGGTGGACATCACACGACTTTCCCACCCCGGCTCCTTTTTACCCCCCTGGCACCCAGGGGTGCATCTGCTTGAAACGGTGTCCCCTGCCCTCACACCACTTCCCTCCGCTCCTCTCCAGGACATTCGCAACACGGTGGGCAACATCCCCATGGAGTGGTACCAGGACTTCCCGCACATCGGCTACAACCTGGAGGGCAAGAGGATCTATAAGCCCATCCGGAACAAGGACGAGCTAGACATGTTCCTGGAGAAGATGGAGAACCCCGACTACTGGTGAGCATGTCGGGGAAGGCCACATCGGTGCGCGGCGTGACGTGCTCGCCACGTGGAGGGCGTGTGTCCCCACACGTGCACACCGGGGTTTGAAACACCCTGACTCCCCAGAGCCCAGGGCTATAGAGTACAATCTGGAGACCTCAAGGTCTCTCCGTGTGATTCCTGGCGTATGGCTTCGGGAGCCCGGGGCTTCATGATAGCGGGGGCTTGTACCACCGTCAGGGACGGTTGCTGCAGTCCAGCCCTAACCCTGTCCCATTTGGTTCCCTGCAGGCGAACGGTCCAGGACAAGATGACGGGTGCAGACATAAAGCTGACAGACGAGCAGGTGGACCTGGTGCATCGGCTTCAGAAAGGGCAGTTTGGGGATGTCCACTTCAATCCCTACGAGGTAGGGTCACGGCACACCCTCTGCGCATGCTCCGAGCGCTGCGTTGCCCCGGGATGGGCAGGGGCGGGGCTTTGCCACACGGGTCTGTGTCTCCCCAGCCGGCCGTTGACTTCTTCACCCACGAGGTCATGATCCACCCGGTGACAAATCGCCCGGCAGACAAGCGGAGCTTCATCCCCTCCCTCATCGAGAAGGAGAAGGTGAGAGGTCTGACGGCACCTTGGGTGATCGGGGAGCACAAAGTCAGGCTCTGCTTGCGACTGGAGCCCCCACGCAGACCGCAGCGCTGAAGGCTGGTGACTGCGGCTGTTCTCCTGTCCGGCAGTCCCTCCTGTCCCTGCCGTGGCCCACCCACCTTCACGACTGTTGCTGCTGCCGCAGTTCATGTCCACGTGTAGACCCGTGTCAAGTCCTCCGGTCCTGTGCAGCCCCCCCGGGCTCCCAGGGCTGCAGAGCTGTGCTCGGCAGCTTTTGTTTCCATTCTCACATCCCACACCTCCTCCTCCCCAAGTCTGCGGAGTCCTGTGGCTCCTGGGGCTGACCTCTCCCTGTCCTGCAGGTCTCCAAGCTAGTCCACGCCATCAAGATGGGCTGGATCAAGCCCCGTAAGCCCAAGGACGACACACCTACATAACATGACCTCTGGGCCCATGAGGATCCCAACTCCATCCTGGGCCGCCACAAGATGCACGTCCCAGCCCCCAAGATGAAGCTGCCTGGGCACGAGGAGTCCTACAACCCCCCACCCGAGTACCTGCTCAGCGAGGAGGAGGTAAGGGGGGGCCGTGAGCAGCCGAGAGCCACAGGGGAAAGCACTGGGCACACGGGGAGCTCAGTAGGTGCCGGGAGCCGAGGGAGGCTGTGCTAGGGAGGGCAGCAGGGGAAGTGCTGCACCTTGGAGAGGCACCTTAGAGACCACGTCGTGTCAAGATGAGTCGAGACCTTGCAAGGAAACTGAAAGCAAAGGTTCCTCAGCCCCCTGAATAAAAACAGAAGAAGTGGGGCCACCTCCCAGGGAGCGGGGTGTCCCTGCGACAGCAAGGTACAGCCTCCAAGCTAAGCTACTGCGGGGTGTCCTGGTGCGGGGGTTTGTCCTGGCGCGCTGCGCCCAGAGGCACGTTCAGCCCAGGGGCTGGGGGGCAAAAATAGGCAGCAGAACCCTGGCAGGCTGAGGAGGTCTCAGCTGGAGGCAGACGGGGAGCGTTGGGGCAGAGGGGGTAAGCGCCATGTCTCATGGAGCAGCATGGTGCTGGCTGGTGAGAAACCAGCTCAAGGATGGTACTTGCCCAGCTTGGGGGGACGTGCCGGGGTTGGTGCAGCGGCACCTCACCATCCAGGGGTCCTGCCAGCCCTGCTGACCCGGGTCCCCTCCGCCCTGCAGAAGCTGGCCTGGGAGCAGCAGGAGCCGGCCGAGCGGAAGCTGAACTTCGTGCCCCAGCAGTACCGGTGCCTGCGGGCAGTGCCTGCCTACTCCCGCTTCATCCACGAGCGCTTCGAGCGCTGCCTGGACCTCTACCTCTGCCCGCGCCAGAGGAAAATGCGGGTGAGGGCTTCTCCTACCCCAGCACCCCCCCACCCGGGTGTCCTGGGGACATTTCAGACTGGCCTCTGCTCAAGCCTGTGTATACCCCGATGCCACCCAGCTGGTCAGGGGACTGCAGTGCTCTGGGGCACAAACTCCTGCTCCTAAAGGCCTCTTGCCCCCCACCTACCCACACCACCAGGCCCAGCTCGCTGCAGAGCTCCTGAGCTGGGACGGGGGCCATGCCCATGCTTACAAAAGCGCTGTCCTGTGATCCCCC